TTATTTTCTTTCTTACAAAAAAAATACTTCACTTTATACTTCGGGAGTTCGAACTATCCTGACTTATTTCTGTCTAAGTCACCGTGTGATCGGCACGGGCTCGATCCCAACCTGATCGAATAAGCTCAATCCACGAGGTGCCACTCGTTTCATGGTTCTAGCGCTCGTGTATCATACTTTAACCTGGCTAAGTAAATTCTCAGCAACGAGACCCTTGGCTCGTGTGCTCCCTTCTTTGGCACAAATAGTTTCAGGAAGTCAACGCATTGGTTAGGACCCTCGGCCTAGACGATGATCCATTCTCAGAATAGAGGATACTCCCAAAAATCTTTTCTTGGCTTTTCAAGTCTAAATCTTTCATACATACTCATACAGTATCCTTAAACGTAAGGTATGTCATACGGATGAAATAAACATTCAAAAATATTTCTAATGATTGTTGCTTCTTCATAAATTTTTAACATGAAAATGGCATATAAGAATAACACAAAAATCTAAAAATTTATGCACGTATATCATAATAACTCATCTAAAGTTTAGCTAGAATAATTCTAAGTTAATAGGTACTCACTCGCTCCAATTAAGTTCATATTAACTCTTTTAAGCAATTCATCAAACACATTGTATGCATGCTTTTGTGAGTTAAACCACTTTAGTAAAAGGTTATATCAACTCACCTCAAAACTTTTCGAGCCAATACGTAGGCCCCAGTCCAATTGACACCAGTCAAACAATCGATTCTACAACAATCAGTGCATTTTAATTAATTTTAAATTTTCACGCCTAAACACGGGACTTTACTGTTGATACAGAAAAAGAAGGGAATTAACTATCCAATTCTCACCTATTACTACTGTAGGATAATTGAGAATAGAAAATTGTATATACCTGAGTTCAAGAACTAGTGATTTGTAAAGAAACCTAGAACTTTTCGTTGCCTGCGTGAGTATTTCGCTGAAACGCTGCTTCTGTTTCTTGTTCGTATATTATTCTTTGCTTTGCTTTCTTTGGACCTAGTTTTCGTCCAAGGCAAGGCTTTAAGGCTTTAAGTCTTCTTTTTTCCAACAGCCCTTTATGGGCTTAGGCTTGTCCCTCCTTTTTTTTTTTGTTTGTTTTACTTAACTAATAATTAATGATACCCAATTTTAATAATTAATAATAATAAAATTTTTAATATTCTCCTAATTATATATTTAATTATTTATAAATAGAGAAGTAACTCAAAAGTCAATCACAAGGGTTTAAATCCGTAATAGGAGTATAATTTAAGAAAAAAAATTAAATTCTATATTTAGCGTGTCTTGAAACTTTTATAAATTTGAGGAGTGTTACAACACCAAGGAGAAAATATAAACAGAATTGATCGTTGGTGGTGTGGCCTAGCGGTCAATGAAGTGGATGAAAATCATAGAAGATAAGATTCAAATTCTAGTACTTCGATAGAAAGCCGAAACATGTGCTGGTTGGAGATAGCAGATGTCCGATCGAATGGTCAAGGTGCATGGAAGTTGATCGTGACACTATAGTTAAAAGAATAAAAGAATTTAAAAGCGTTTTTAGCAGAGAGTAATAACATTTTAGACTAAGGTGATCTAAGCCTTCCATCTTTCTTAAAAGCTGGGGTTCTTCTAAGTTGCTCGGACTCGGGTGTAGGTATTCAATACGAGGACGGATCCGGGTATCGAATTCGGCAAAATTTAAATTTTAAGATTCGGGGATGCGGATCCGGATATGGATACGGGTGCGGGGATTCGGCTAATAAAAAATAGAGCTATAAAAATATTGTAAATTTTGAGAGATATTATGTGAAAAACTTACATGAATATTGTAGAATTCAATCTTTCATTCGCCAAGATGGACATTATTCTTTCATTCTCCTAAATCTGTTTTATTTTGATTTTGAGAAATTAAAATCTCCATTTTCTCCCAAATTTGTCGATGGACTCCGGTCAAAGTGTCCGAAGTCAGTTGACCATATCCAGGACGTTTCCCACTCCCGCTCCTGTCCCCGTCTCGTATCGGGACCGGGACAACACCAAAATCGAAAAGTTCGCGCAACTTAGGTCTTCTTTACATGTCTTACAAAGTGAGCAGTTTTCACAGTAGTGGTAATATTCAACTTGTCTTAGTGTCTCAATTCAAACAAAGCTGTGAAGCATTATAGGATTTAGTCTTCCCCACAAGAGATGCATATATTGGATTTTGCTCTGCACCAAAACCTCATGGTTATCTTGATTTTTCTATGTAAGCACATGCCTAATTAAAGTAGTTATAGTTTATATTATTGTTATGAATGAGACAAAATCTTTATGCAAACAGAATAGTGCAAAAGAGCTTGTGTAGCAGACAACCTTAGTGTACTGTAGCAAAACTAAAAAGGAGATACAACTCCATCGTTTATTGATGACGCCTTAATTGAGAAGATGAATGCATCTAAGCTGACCACAGATTCCATTATAAACTGATGTTTACTTAGATACTCTTTTCTCTTTTTATCCATATACAATTTGCCACGTCGGCGTCCCTATATAAGGAGGGTAACTTTTTGTTAGGTTGTGGCAACCATAAATGGCTTCCAAGCAACACGAGGAAGTGCCAAGAGGAAGATGAAAGAATGGCTATGATTGTATCCATTTTAGGAGAAGGTCGTTGGGATGATATAGCAAAAGCTTCAGGTATAATTAGATATGTAGAAATGTTAAACTTCATAGTACCGAAACAAAGTAGAAACTCATGTCAGATCAGAGGCAGTCGGTTCAGAATAAGTGGGGATCTTATTATACGTATACATTTTTGGTTTACTTTGTATATATAATATAGTTTGAGCGAAAAGCAATTGGGTTCAATTGAAGCCGCTCTAAGTCGAAAAAAGCATCAAATAACTGTGTTTAGAATATGCTTTAATACAGGGCTGAGGAGGAGTGGGAAAAGCTGCAGATTGCGATGGTCATATATCTAAGCTAGTTCCACTTATTTATGAATGTAACTATCTTTTAGCATAAAAGTTCTTTTATACACAATTAACTTATTCTCTAACCGATTATTGGTTTCATTTGACAGAATCCTTTGGCAGTAACACTGGTAATTCAGAACAACAATCATCAACTTTAAAAAGTTACACAGTCCCTTCTTCTCAAAGCGATGACTCCTTTTCTGAAAAAGGAGATTGTTCCTCTGCGCATATATATACTCTTCAAATGAAACAACATTATTGGATTGGATTCCAAGTTGGTCATATCAACAAAGCAGAATTAATGGAGCATCATATGTACTTTTGCAGCTCAAGCCTATGTTATTGTTATCCTCCCAAGTAGGGGCGGAGCTAGAAGGCTAACTACCGGTTCGGCCGAATTCGCTAGCTAGCTTTACTCCAAAGTCCAAACCTTGTATTTTTACTAAAAAGTTCATCAAATATATGTACAAAAATTAAATTCAGAATCCAATTACTAACACTTTACATCGCTATCCTAGAATTTAAAACTCATAAGAGTTTAAATCTTGATTCTCCCAAGACAATACTATAACTACGTTGGAAGGTTCACATTACCTCTGGGGACAATAGTTAAATCCATAGTACTATTTATATTTATCTGTAGAAATGCCAAGAATCTTGATTTGTATAGACAACTTGAATGTACATTTTTATGGGGGAAAAAGACGAAAAAGGACAGCCTAAACACCTATTTGGACATATTACTGTCTCCTGTTTTTAGCTTAAAGTATAGTGTATATGTCTGCTATAATAATTGGTAACTCTTAAATATCGCCTGATATGATTACGCCAAAAATAGTGTGAGAACCGACTAATTGCACTGACAATAAAATTGTTCTTTACAATGTCGATGTATATATTTTAAATCTTTAAGCTTTTCGTGCTTATTTTCTTATCCCGTGAATTAAACATGAACAAGCATAAAGAAAAGAATAATAATGCAAGAGGACGGTTTAAAGGAAGATGATAAGGACTAACAGCACTTTTCTACAATTATTAATGAACTTATCGTCAGCTTTACGCTGGTGGATATATTCTGTCTCTAAAATTAAAAAAGAGACCAAAAAAAAAAAAAAACAATCACAAGAGCTGCTTAGTACAGGTTTATTGGCTTATAATCCACAGAAAAGCAATTAAATATTTCAAAATTTCCTTCTTTTTTAGTTGAATAGCTTGCACAAACAAATACTCGATCCACTTATTTTTAAAGTAATGTGGAAAACGTAGTAAATTTATATTCGGCACAAATCTCTTTCTATCCCCTCGAGCACTCAGTAGAAAAAGAGGAATCAAATCATACAGACTTGGGTTTGATCTCCAAAATACAGTAAAGATTGAAACATTTTTTCATAATGGTACCTAAACTATCTAAAAACGATCGAACTACAATCAAATTTGCCAATTCTTTGAAATGAAAATCACGTTCAGAAATTAACCTTTATTTAATAGTATACGCATAATTAATTATCTACTCTTGGGCAACCTTTCCACCAGCACTACAAACTACTTATAATATATATGATGCCTTTATTCTATTATTTATGTGCCCATCTTACTGTTTTGCGAATCTTCATGCTTCTTTAAAAAAATTTAGTTCTAGATTTGCATGCATTTCCTAATTTTCTGAAGGTCATCAAGTTCGTTAAGTACAATAGCCAATTAGAGGCAGAGCCATGATTTCAATTTTATAGGTTCTGGAATTTAAAACAAATAGTTTTGAGTGCTAATGAGTCTAAATTTAATATGTATACATACTTAACGAGTTACTTCATACAAATATACTGTTCAAAAAAAACTATTGAATTCAGCCGAATTCCTGTCACAGCTTCTGCCTCGATCTCCTGTCACCAACAATAGAAAATAATGTGCATCCATTACTATATATATATGTTCAATCTGTGGTTAATTAATTATTATAGTCCATATACACTGAGCTTTCCAACAGACAGGAGCCATATGCTTCAAAATTATAAGATGATGGTAGCACTGCTTGGTCATATGCTGCAAATTCTATGATAATGATAATGCTGATAAACTAAGCATATCTTTTATAATCATTGGATAATGATCTGAAATCATATCCGTCCTGCTGAAAGCACTGACATAATATATCTCCTACCATCTAGGCAGGGGCGGAACCAGGATTCGAAAGAGTATGAGTTCTGATCTTATCACCGATTCCTAACTCGGTTTAGTCATTGGGTTCGCAATTAAATATTTTTATTTATTTAATAAACTTTCTAATACAAATACAGGATTTAAGCAAAAATTACTGAGTTCGTCTGAGTCTGTAGCTACTACACGTCCACCACGCCTGCATCTAAGCATTTCCATTTTCCAGTAAGCAAGTTAGACTATCCACTTGTACTACCGCCTCGCCGTAGTTGACGACCGCACGCGCCCCTCAAACGTCCTTTGAAAACACTACGTCCATAGTAAATGGAATTAATAATTTGAAAGTAAACCTCTTGTAACTAGAAAGTAACCGTCTATTTATTAATGAAAAATTAAGTATATCACTTGCTAAAACATTTTAAGCGATCTGTTTTACACATATAAGTTAAATTCGTTGTGTATTGTTATATGTCGTTATATATGAACGCTTTTCTCCTATGTCATTGTGACGATCAGATAGGCCATTTTGCATACTAGCCTTAATTTCAGTATTTCGAGACCTTCCATAGCTTCATTTATGTTTATTGATTTGAGTGTGTGGTCCGTGTCGTTTTCCGGAAAGCTTTTACCTAAAATTGTGAAGAAAATGTGATTTTTGACTTAAAATGAGCTAGAGTTGACCACTGTCAACATTCATGTTAAACGACCTCAGATCGGTATTTTGAAGATTCCGGTAAGTTGGTATGATATTTTTTTGTACGCATGTTGTCACACCTCCTTTTTTACACACCTACCCCGAAGGATAATGTATAAGGGAGTTTTTCCATTTAAAGTGACATTATTCGAAATGGGATTATTTATTTCTAGAGTCGCCACTTGGGATAGGGTTGGCTTTTGGTGTCCCAAGTCACCGGTTTATTTTGAATCCCAAATCGAGGAAATTTCGACTTCCCAATTGGAGTCTGCGAACCAGAAATTCTGAATAAGGAATTCTGTTGACCCGAGGGAAGGTGTTAGGCACCCCCGGATCCCGTGGTTCTAGCACGGTCGCTTAAATTATTATAAATGGCTGAAATCTGATTTTTATACATGTCATCCTATAGTGCAATTTTAGAATTATTTACCGGTTTTAGTTAAATTTTTAGGAAATTGAACGTCGTTTAAAATATGTTTTTGGATCACGTCACGTGAAATGCACCCGGATCCTCGACACATTTTATTCAACGTTTTGGGATTTGGATTTGGGTCACATGAAATGCACACCCGAATTTAGGAAGGTAAAACTATTAAAGAACGCGCCTAAAGTGACTAACGTGTTATTAACTTTGCAGGAGGCCATGAAAATTTGCTAAATGGCACGTCCCGAGTTCTAAAATATTTTAATAGAGGTAATTAAAGAGGGCCACGCAATTTGTGAATTTTGTTTGGCGCGGCACACCTCGTTTTATTTTAAAGGGCCATCCTAAAGGGACCATTATTTTTCTATTAAAGATTGTCTCTAAAGTAACTTAATTAATTGGCATTATTAATTACTATTGTTAAAAGCATTCAAACAAACTTGGGCCTCAAGATCAAGTACAAATTCAAAAAAGAGGACTTTCATTTATTGAAGGCCCCTTAATTCAAATTTGCTACTTAACTTGGAAGGCCTAAGCGTACATTACCAAATTAAAATACCAGGTTTTAAAAAAAATACTAGCTCTCGGCACATTGGTCTTTGTAGACCAGCCCAACGAGGGAGAAAAATTTCTGCCAGGTTTTTTAAAAGGAATTGCCGGTCGTTGGTCTCTGCCCAGCCCTAAT